AGTTAAATTAAAATGGAATAAAAAAACAGACCGTCCTACCAGCCAGCAGACTTCCGCCACAGCCGAAGGACACCTTCATGGATGTACCGGCGTGGTCGGCACGCCGTGCCTGGCCGCGACGTGGGATTGGCGAGGGACATGATGAGCCGCTGCGCCTCCATGTGGCTGCCTCCAACGGCAAAATCGAGACAGCCTCGGCGCCGGCTATCGAGCCAGCCGTCGTGCCGAAGCGCACGTCAACGCCCTCGAACACCGTGCGATGCCACATTGGGCGCCAGTTCCCTTTCACCGCTTGGCCAAATTACCTTCAGCCTCGCGTCCGTGCTAAACCTTTAAAACGCAGAACGTCAGCCGTATTTACCAAATCCCTCGCACTTCTTGACCCACCAGTTGATCTCTTCGCGCGGCCCAGCACCAAACCGCGTGATACTTCAGCCCTCCCCTTTCACTTCTCTTCCCTCTCACTTTTTCTTCATTCTACCTTGTATTATTATCTCACGTGATAAGGCTTATCTTTGTTTTCACCCAGCTCACTCGACGCCAAACAAGGCGTTTAACCAAGACTACTAGGAATAAGCCGGCAAGGAATTTGCCATCGGTTGCCAAGGTTTGCCATCGCATTTTTTGTGAAGACCTATAATGGTTCGCTTGAAAGGCGCTTCTAAACAAGCGTGTCGATCCCATGTAATGGAATATTGAGCACAAGGATAACATCACAAAGATTTAATTCTAGCGGAGCCTTTAGCTGACGATGACGCATTCATACTGAGGCTGGGGCTGGTAGTAAGCGCGGGGAGCCTCATCATCGTCATCATCATCGCCCAGGCGCCTCGTGCCCCTCCTCCTCATCATCAGACACCTCCGGGGTGGGGAAATCGGTGGGCACGGGGGTGGGCAGGTGGTCACCCTGGGGCTGAAAGCCGTTGGCGTCGGCCACGTAGACGACCTCGTGGACGACATCGTCGGGACCGGTGTAGCTGAACTGGCCGTTGACGTTATGACTCTCCTCATCGCCGTATCCCTCCACCGGCCTGCCAGACTCGGAGACGTAGATGCACTTTCCAGTCCCAAAGCGTCGAAATAAATATGAGTGAAACATTGAATCACCTACAGATCGTGCCGCCTCCGTAGTCTAGGGGAAAGCTGCTTGACTTGTAATCCAGCGGCACTGGGAACAAGGACCAGAGTGGGCGCATTGCCTGAAGTGGAAAGGTCAGCTGACAACTGGCCAACGAGGGCCAACCCAGTTCCGGGGTGGCCCTGCCGCAGCAATGTGCGACACGCATAAGCCTCCGCAATCCTGTCTGACAAAAGGGCGGAGGCAAAATCATTCGTTGAACTGGACGGCACGACTTGGGTGGTGGGTTCAGGGTACACGCAACAAGCCATGCTTGGCAGGTTCTCTGAACCAGAAGTCACCGATGCAAACCATACGGAATAGATTTATTAAAAAAATAATTTGATGATAAGAACAAACTTCTAACATCACCCTGTGCACTAATTGTTGCTGGCAACAGATAATACAAAAAACGTTTTCCGGTGTTTTATTTCTATTACAGATAATGCTCTGGACGTGAGCGTTGGAAAAGGATTGCTTTTTGCGACTCGTAGGGACTGGTCTTTACGGAACACAACGTCCTGCTTCAGGATCTTGCACGCCTTTTGGGCGTAGGTGAGGGCACCGTAGCTACGGTAGGGGCGGCGGTAGCCATGACCACAACGGCGGCGACAAGCATCTGGACCAGCGGTAACTCTCAGTGTCATGATGTCCTGGCATTGATAGTTGCTCGTCAGCATTTTTGACATTTTGGAACCTAACGACTGGACACATTCTGGAAACACGTTTGTGTTTGGGCAAAACAAATGTTTAAATTGTGCATGCCGTAACTGCACTGCAACACAAATATCCGGACCTAGCGGTAGAGCAGATCACTGAAACGACCACTTGATGCTATTGCATACATGCAAGTCACTCTCTGGTCAGAGCACGCTTATTCAACAACTTCATGTCTGTTTGTGTGACGGGTCTGTGTGTTGACTGACGCCACCGATCTTACTCCATGGTAAGAACACTGCGTCGGGACTCGCATACCCCATCCATGGCCATCACAGGTCACCATGGTCGGCCGCACTTGTCAGGGCGCGGCAAGGGACCACGACCTCTGCTTCTGTCATTGTACATATGTCTCTGTGACCCGCGAACCCTTACTTCTTTAAACTTTCAACAATTTGGGATTATCTCACAAATAGTCCATACATACTCTGACAGAACGGTTTCGCAGCCAAGTTTAACTGTGGAAATGTCATCTGCGCATTGGGACGACTTTCGCATGTACGGAGCCGTTAAACCCTAAGCGTCACAGTGTTACACGACACATCTCATTTTCTTCTTACCTCACCATGTCTTTTACATTCTCGCACAGCGTCCATGGCATCGGGATGTGTACCTTAGTAGCTCACGAAGTGTCGCGATGGGTACACTATCGGCGCACGCAACACTTGGTTCCCCATGCAGTGTTGACTGACGCCACCGATCTTACTCCATGGTAAGAACACTGCGTCGGGACTCGCATACCCCATCCATGGCCATCACAGGTCACCATGGTCGGCCGCACTTGTCAGGGCGCGGCAAGGGACCACGACCTCTGCTTCTGTCATTGTACGTATGTCTCTGTGACCCGCGAACCCTTACTTCTTTAAACTTTCAACAATTTGGGATTATCTCACAAATAGTCCATACATACTCTGACAGAACGGTTTCGCAGCCAAGTTTAACTGTGGAAATGTCATCTGCGCATTGGGACGACTTTCGCATGTACGGAGCCGTTAAACCCTAAGCGTCACAGTGTTACACGACACATCTCATTTTCTTCTTACCTCACCATGTCTTTTACATTCTCGCACAGCGTCCATGGCATCGGGATGTGTACCTTAGTAGCTCACGAAGTGTCGCGATGGGTACGCTATCGGCGCACGCAACACTTGGTTCCCCATGCAGTACGAGCATGTGCCAAACACGTGATATCCCCTGAATCATGCTGAATGCCAGTGGTTATTTAGCCAGCCACTTGGCTGGAATTTCATGATCTTTGAGATCGCGTTTTTTGAACCACATTCATTTAAGCAAGGTGAGAAACAAAGTGTGATCTTAGAATAGTAAATATGTCCTACATAAGGAGTTATGTCGCATGTATCGAGAAACATCGCATAGTCTTGTCAGCGCTATTGCTTCCAAAATCAAATATGCACTCACCTGGGGAACAGGCAATCATAGGGCAGCAAGACGAACCATCTGGCCTGAAAGAGCGGCAGCACTCGATGCAACACATATTATGCCTCTAAATCGACTTTGATGACATCGATAGGATGCAGGGAGATACTGGTTTGTTGCTTTCGCCATACTTTTGAGTGTGAGCTGCGTTTTCTCTCATAGACAATGTCAGCATTGAGTTGCTATCGCACAAATCATGAACAAGGATCCAACAGATCCATGGCACGACGATTCGCTTTATGTTATCTATATATATATATATATATATATATATATATATATATATATATATATTTACATACTATAGCTATACTATATAGCGTTGCAACGGGATTCGTAAGGGCACTGTTGTTTGTGCGCTGTGTGAACATGGAGACAAGGGTGTGAAACAAACGCCTTGCTTGTCATTAGAAGCGAGCCGACGTTATCCGGTTTCAAAACTTGTAAATGAAAAACATACTAACATGATTTCTCAGTCCACCTGAGGGTAGTAGTTCACCATAAGCGTCACAGTGTAACACGACACATATCTTTTTTGTCTTTTCTACCTCACCATATCTTCTACATTTTCGCACAGCGTCCACGGCATCGGGATGTGTACCTTGGTAGCTCACGAAGTATCGCGATGGGTACGCTGTCAGCGCACGAAGCCCTCATGCAATACGAGACATGTGCGAAACTCGTGATTTCCCCTGAAGCATGCTGAATCCCAGAGGTTATTCAGCCAGCCACTTGGCTGGATTTTCATGGTCTTCGAGGTCGCGTTTTTTGAACCACGTTCATTTAAGGAATGTGAGAAACGAAGTGTGATCTGAGAATAGCAAATAGGTCCTCCATACGGAGTTCCATCGCATGTATGGGAAAACATCAACAAAAGCACCACGTGATCTTGTCAGCGCTTTTGTCTCCAAAATAAGATGTGCACTCACCTGGGGAATAGGTAATTACAGGGCAGCAAGAAGAACCATCTGGCCTGAAAAAGCGACAGCACTCGATGCGACACGTGATTAGCTTCTAAATCTACTTGATGACATTAACAGGATGCGAGGAGGTACTGGTATGCTGTCTTTGCCATACTTTTGAGCGTAAGCTGCGTTTTCTCTCATAGACGATGTCAACGATGATCCTTGACGATGTCAAGGATCCAACAGATCCATGGCACGACGATTCGCTGTATACTGTCCTTTAACTGTGTATATATGTATATATGTATATATATATATATATATATATATATATATTTGCATACTATATCTATACTATATAGCGTTGCAACGGGATTAGTACCTGCACTGTTTGTGCGCTGTGTGAAAATGGAGCGAAGAGTGTGAAACAAACACGGGGCCTTACTTGTCTTGAGACGAAGCCGGCGTCATCCGGTTTTAAAGCTTGTGAAAGTAAAAAAAAGTACAAACATGATTTGTCAGCTGACCTGAGGGTAGTATCAAACGACCAATGCCCCTTTAAGGCATAAGTTAGCCCCCCCCCTCCCTTCCACGTCGCCTCGTTGCACACGTAACGTAATATATGGGCGGCCCCGTCAGCAAGTGAACAAGATGAAGATAGTAGCATATTGTGCAAAGCACCACGTGATTGCTAACTTGTGCATGATTCCAGTGCCGAACGATGCATCCTGCACTCCGAATTCATGCATCTAAATGCCCGGTCAAAGACATCATCGCGCTTCGTCGTCTGGGAGCAATTCGGGAAATGGTTGAAAATCTTAGGCATCCTAAAATGAAGCGTGTATTTGTCAGATAAGGCAGCGTAAGGCGATTGCAGATCAAGCCAGATAAAAAAAGCAGCGCACCCAAACCCCCGGAGGGAAGCATCGATGCTGCCGACTAGTCCTTCTACAATACCAAGCAAAGCAAAGAAAATCTGTGTTAGGTGACAGCAGCCCACAGCCTCTGGAGCACTCGGTGGCGTTCTCAAAAGACGCCAAGTTACGGCCTCCATCCTGGTCACATCACATTCTACTCAAACCGCACACTTCAACATCGTCCAGCCGACCACCCCGCCGGGTCAGAGTTCCTAGCGTCCGTCGGTCGAACGCTTCAGAAATAAAGGGACGCTTCAGAAACACAGGCACGCTTCAGCAATGCAGGCACACTTCAGAAACACGGGCATGATTCAGTAACACAAAGACACTTAGAAAACACAGGGCGCTCGAGAAACACAAAGACGCCGAATGCACAGGTGCTCTTCGCATCACACAAGGACTCCTAAATATTACACACAGTGACACTTCGGCATCGCATAGGGACTCTTAAGCATTAATAAAAGCACGCTACATCGCCGCACGAGGATGCCTCCGCACTGAACAGGGACGTTCCAGCGCAGCATCACGCTTTATTGCAGCACTGCTCCTGCCGCCCCCCCCCCCCCCCGCCACCCTATCGTAAGGTGGTCAGTTCTTCGCCACCGTGCAGCCGATCCAGTCGAGAAAGCTCTCCACATGGGTGTAGACACCCGGGAAGTTGACGTTGCCGCAGCCGGAGCCGAAGGAGACGACGCCCGCGGCGTACGAGGTTTCCTGGTTCCTGTGGTTCCGACGCTCCATCAGAGGACCCCCACTGTCGCCCTGCCGACGCCAGAGTGTCAGACGTCATACGGACCGAGTTCCGCGACCGGTGACCGGGGTGTCATGTCACAGCCGAAGCACGAGAGCACAGCAGAATTAGCGCACGTTTGTTGGCATTTCAGAATACCAGAAGCTGTCAAGTGGTACATGCGAGCCAGCGAAGTATCATAAAATGTTTTAATGGAGTGTTCCACATTTGTATGGGGCTTTAAACTGAGATGACAATGTTAAAGATGATTTGCTGGGGTTCACAGCCATGCCCTTCTTGAGGCATAAAACCATATGGAGCCTAGCTAGGCCCTCGGTTTGTCATAGTATGTTGGCACGTGCAGCCCTCAAACAAAAGGCATCCTGGCCTGTTTTTGCACCCACCCTGCAGGTGTCGACTCCGCCGAGGTCATTCTCGCCGTTGGCGCAGATTTGCGTGTTGTCCACGGCCGTGTTCTGGCGGGAGTACGCCTCCTGGCACTGATCGTGGCGCGTGACGTTGATCCGGGCCCACTGCATCAAGGCCTCGGTGGGCCCAGCTGCAATGCACGCGACGTGGCTGAGTAAGTTTTGATTCGTTTGTAACATTCGTGTGCATTGTGAAGACGGCTTCGGGCAAAAGCCCCTTATGTGCAGTCGTAAGCCGTTCCAAGAATTTTTTTTACTCGCCAGAGCCATTCAAAAGAAAAATGTGCGGTGAGCAGAAGATTTAGCATCAATACTTGCGCACCATCTTCGGAAAAGCTCATGCCCCAAGCATTGCGCAAGGAAAAAGGCTGAAAAATGACCCGCGAGCAAAACTGCAATGATCTGCTACACGGACGGCGGCAGGTTTCCGAGCCTGCGCTGGCAACGTCTGCTGGGCCACCGCATTCAGCATGATGAATACATTATCAAACCTGTGGCAGCGATAAGTAGTCGTTTTTTGCCAAGGTTTTACCGCCAAGCTTTTCGAGTCCTAAAATCTGCAAAGCTTTTACGCATGCTCTACCCAAAGACTTGGCATTCCACAAGCTAAGCGCCTTTTAGTCATCTATCGCCACCTTCAGCAGCATTGGGATGACAATGTTGCCAGTCGGCTGTCGGAGCCTTTCGTGAGCACGCCCAGCCGGCCCGGCGGCACAGCATGCCGACCCTGCCGTGTCGCGGCGCGACCTCGGCCGCGCGGTGGACTGCGACCTACCGCCGCGGGTGCTGACCGCCGTCCCGCGGCGGACCGTAGGGGACGCGTGATAGGTGCGTGTATGCGAGCTGACTTATGAGTGGAAGTTCACCCGAGCTAAATGTTTTGTCGTGCCTGGCTGGAATGGCAGGGACAGCACGCCACTGGACTTGGTCCAATACGGATCGCCGCGTCGCTACACGTCTCTCTCTGATCAAGCTGAGCCGAACCGCTGGACGAAGACATCACAGAGACGGGCTACATGAAATGTTCGAATCAGAACAGCGGTCTTTCCTCGCCTGGAGATTACACCGTGCACCTGCGCCAGGCGGAAAATCGAACCTCAGATCAGGTGGCGCTCGAGATCCACTCTGTGCACCTTCCTCCGGGTGGTTATCAAACCAGGACCCCGTGCTCTGTTCCGCCCTTAACCACGGCATCTGCCGGCACCTCCATGCCCGGCTGCAGTGGGCCATCGCTCACCGAACTCGGTCGCGCCCCAGCCGGCGACGTAGACCTGCTGGCCGTCCAGGTCGGAGGCGGGGCGGGAGGAATCGGAGATGCACAGCGGCTTCATCACGGCTGTAGGCGGAGAGATCGATTGCAAAAAGCTATCGATGCTCGATGATGCAGACCGCAGCCATCGGTCCTACTATCAGCAGGCGTGACTCAAATCCGGGTCAGCACAGACAGAGACCAGCGACGACTAAGAAAATGTCCAAACGGAGCGTGAATGAATATGGTGGAAATTTGATAATATATATATATATATATACATATATATATATATATATATATATATATATATATGTATATATATATGTATATATATATATAAATGCACAAAATTCATGAAATTAAGATACCGAAGCTAGTCAGATCCAGACAGAGGACATGCCTGACACACACGGCGCTGAATGCGACTAGGCCATGCACGTGCATCGAAAATTCCTAAGTAATATTCCTGCGCAACGCAAAATAAATGTTCAAAGATCACAGGTATGCTAGTGTAGAAATAGTAACTTGCTGAAAAACATATGAGTCGACGCCTCTTTGTTTGCTTCAAACCCACGACGGTACTATGCTTGAGTTGCCAGCATGAAATAAAGGACATCAAAAAAGGAAATCGGGGCGCGGCACCTAGGCTTGAATAAACTTACCATGCGTGACCGCAAGGTGAAAAACACGTTGGTAACTCCAAGAATATTAGCGGTAAGAAGTAGCAACGTTACCATGGTAACTGGCGAACTCCCATCACCGATTTTTGGTAACCTACTGCACACTTCTATCAAACACATGTGTTGGCGCCGCTAATGTGATGCTAGGATGAGAGCGCAACAGGCCATCCACAAAATGCAGTGTGGTGGAGAGAAAAATGGGGGGGGGGGAGAGGGGGCAGGAAGGCCTCAACACCGAGGGCTAACAGATGGCATGAAGGGCAATAATGCTTATGTGGAGTAAAAGGGTGGAAAGGTGAGTAAAAACGTTTACAAATGAATGCCACTGCCGGACCACCGAAAGGTTTGGATAACAAGGTATGCTGCTCAAGAAAAGCTTGTTACTTGTCATACACGAAGCTGTCATAAGTTGAAGGTCGTAATACCAGTATTGACTGCAATTGGCAAAAGTTGTCGAACTGTCTTTTAAATCAGCAGCCCCACTGAAATGTGGAAGTGATGTTCGCAACCAGGGTTAGAGGTTACTTGTTCAGGGAGATAAGTTTCTGTGTGCGCTGGGTCGTCCAATTTGCGGCTGAAATGTGCTAACTAGGATTACTTGAATGATACAGTGGGCCACGCAATGCCAGCGCCCCCACCCACCCTGGAGCAGGTGTTATAGCTTTAGGATCCCCTTGGCTGTTTCTTGCGTGCAAATAGTGGGCTATTCAGTGAGGACTTACGGGATATCGAGATGCGCTCCGTAAGCTTGACGAGGGCAATGTCATTGAACAATCCTTTGCCGTTTCCTCTGAAAACCCGTTTATATTCCGGATGCTTTATGGCTTTTTCCACATTGTACACTCTGGGCGGGTACTGGGTGCTTTCTTCTGTGGTCGTGGCAATGTTCAAGTCGCCCAGTAGCACCTTCACTCTGCAAAATAACAGGATTTGCGTGAGGATGCCACATAACCTTTATGCAATGGTTGATATATGAAAAAGCACACATAGCAAGGGGCCGCACTGGACTACACATCGCTTCACTGATCCGTTGGGGTTGCAGCAGGGACACATAAATGGAAATACCATGCACTGATTTTGCACTGTAGATCATCGGCGATTCATTTTGTTCTCGGTCATTCATTGTCGATGTCGATCACTAGTTTTTCCTGTCGATCATCAAGCGCTGACATTTCAGGTACCTAGCAAGCATTGGTAACACATCGGCAACGGAAGGTTTCCCGTATCCGCTTCAGCACCTTGGTGGAAATAAAACCATGCTGTTTCCCGATCATTCCTGTCGTCCACACGGTGTACGTCGAGGCTGGCATACCAGCCCAGGCTCTCCGCCCGGAGTGACGTGCGCAGTGGCTTGGACAAACTGACAGTGAGTTCGAACCCTCCTCAACAGGCTGTCGCTTCGAGAGAAAGGAAGTAATTACGTTACCACGCGACGACGGTGTATGCAAATGTGTGTTAAGCTCAAATAGGATCCTCCGCAATGCCCAGCGCTAGCTTCTCAGTCAGTCAAAGAGAGCCGCCACAAAGTGAGCTCAGATCCTGCACTTTAGTCTTCGGGCCGCCACATCGACGTGGGGCGTTTTGGATGTTAGTGACTAAAGGACTCTAATAACACTGACCTGTTTACTGTCCCTGACTTGTATGCTGGCAGAAAGGTGTCAGAAATGAAAATGATGGAGGCACAAATTTTGGGCGCTCACCATCATCAGGTAGGCAGAAAGGTGAGGGGATTAGCGAAAAAGAAGGCGAAAGCCCCCGCACCCACCCCAGACATGGCTGTCCCATCACTGTCGCTGCAGGTGCTGGACGAAGGGTTCCAAACTTTATGCCAATTTGACGTTGATACCGCCATCTGGCGTTAACATGGTTGAATGGCGCTCAATGGATGGAACGCGGTTAAAGGGCACCAAGAGGTGTGAGACTGATGGCATTAAACGGTCTGACGGCATTTTTCACACGGAGGGCTTCGAAAAGTTTCTGTCAGCACTCTTCCATCTGCGCAGAATCCTGACGTGCAGATTGGTTTGGTAAGCGGTTCTGTTTGGGTCGCTGACGGACGGATGGCCGTCGAGAGGTGTGCACACGATTTTGGTTCGCGACAGTCTCCAGATACCCGATAAAAAACAAGCACACGCCTTGTTTCGTGCCGCCAATAAAAATGTGTTGGTCAAAGTCGCACAGCATCAGATATAAAGCGTTTATGGTCGCATATCGATCTTCCAGTCCGGCGTTAAAGGTGGCGTATGATCTATATCCAGATGAAGAACGGGGTCGCTACAGGGCAGAACGGCGCAAATATTTCTGCACGCATTTCGGCTGGTCCCTGGGGTCTAGGCTTGAAACCCAGATGAGCGTATGGCCCCTTGCACCTGTTTCTTTAAACGGTCACCAATAAATGCTAGTGTTGGCATTTGATGATCTGGTCTCACGGGGCGGCTGTTGTTTGCTTTCCACAGTCGCTTCGGCGCCGTAGTATCTCATGGGCCAGCCAAGTGACGTCATGTCGTCTCAGTCACGTGACACAGCTGATGGCATTAACGTTTTTCCTGAAAAGCTCCATAATTATGGGGACGCCTCTTTACAGCGCAGCTCCGTCAGGTGACATGGCGATGGATCGAAAAGTCTAGAATTTCATTTTTAAAGTTTTTGTTTTCTGGGCGGGCTGTGCTGGCGTAAACGACAGCGTAATCGTTTCGGTCATCGGTTCAATGAACCGTTCTCGTTGCAGCTGTCAGCACTTTGAACTGTTCTAAACGTGTCAAAAATGGTATGCCTTTCTGGTTGGACGCTGCGCAACATCATCATTTCATCCACGTGCGCATCACCACTACCGTTACTCAGCTGCTCATCATACACTGGCACGCTCTACTCCACTCACGCA